TATATATATATATATATATATATATATATATATATATATACAAATAACTTATAGGAAGCGCTGGTTTTTTTAAAATTATTTTATATGATTTTCATATTATTTTTTTCCTACCAAACTTGTTTTATTTTTATTTATTTACTTATTTATTTATTTATTTTTTTTCATTTAATGTTTTTATTCTTTCTGGGGTGGCGGCGTTGTCATGCTTTCATTTTCTTTTGTAGAAATTTAGTTAAGTTTTTGTTTGTTTTTGCTTTTCTATTGGAAATACATACAACAAAAACACATATATACATAAATTATGTAAAAATGAAGAAAAAATCACTTTAACTGGTAATACAATTTGCATGTGTGGGAGACGTGATTGTCTATAATATACAAACGATTACCAATTATGTGCTTTTTTTCGGAAACTCATTAAATGCATTGTGCTTTAGTAATGAAAAATTTAAATGAACCAACAATATTTCCAACGTAGCTGGATAATGGGAGAGAACTTGGGAAATTTAAGGGTTTAGATAATACATACATATGCTCCTTCCTAAATATATAAGCATAGCGTATGTATTAACATAAGTAATACCTATTGAATAACTAAGGGCGGCTTTGCTATTTGTACTCTTTACTCATATACATATTTATATGTAAATGTATTACGTGTATATGGATATACATGCATTGCATGTATGCATACATAAAAAAAAAAAAACAGTAATATTTATATATACATATATACAATATATATATATATATATATATATATATACATATATGTTTGTATGCATGTACGCATTTATGTAATACATGTATATAATATATGTAGGTATGTATGTATGTAATGTTTTCTTCTTTTTTTTTTTCTTTTTTTTTTTGGGACGTAGAGGTAGCGCATTGGTAGAGGTAGTGGCCCTACACTGGTGTCAAAGGCATTCCGAAACCGCTTTCGCATTACCTCACTACAGAGTCTCATGGATTCTTGATTCCCACTATCTCATCCGTCCCTCCCCTGTTCACGCTTGTGATTAGGGATCCGGATGTCACCTTCGTGTGGCTTTATATCGAAGCATGTGTCCTGCAGAAAACCGGCGCCTTTCTTTCATCTCTCGTAGTCGATTATATGTATATGTGTATGTATGCATGCACGCATATAATATATATAATATAATATAATATATATATATATATATATATATATATACGGATATGTATGCGTATGTGTATGTGTGCGTGTGTGTGTGTCTGCGTGTGTGTTTATGTTTATGTTTGTGTTTATGTGCGTATCATTTCGTTTTCATAATATAAAATCGTTTAAAAGAAATATAATGCATATAATCGTATGTACATAATATGTTACGAAGGCAAGCTAGGTGTTTTTTTCTTTTGTAATTTTTATACACAGTATATATAATAAATGATCAAATAATAAAAAATTATTCTGTAAAAAATTAATCAAATATAGAAGAAACAGATAAACGATAGAGATAAGAAAGCGATATTCGCCTTAGAGCGAATTATGTGTATCCACCATATTAAATAGGTTTTTCTATCTATCTGTAGATTGTTTAGGGTTAGTTGAGGACTTGCACTTGCAGCAGATGAACTACAAACATTTTTAACTTAATTAGTGTCACTATCCCGAGAATATATGTTCAATTTGTATATGTTCATATACAAGTTAATTAGTTTCGAATATTTTGGCAACGCGATGACAGACGAACGAGTGGACATGCCGCGGAAATTTTTACCCTCATTATATCCTTAAGATATATTTGATATCTCAATCTTACAAGCAAAACAATGATGAATGTAAAAAAGAATATATTAAATAATTAAATAAACGGACATATGTGTAATTAATTAACTAAACAACGAAATAGCACAACATGCCACTTCCATGAAAATTTGTAACATCTTTACATATGTATATATCTGCCCACTAGCGAATAGTTATCACTTGAATGAGATGAGGAAAGCGTTTTCAATAAATTTTGGAAATTCATCGTTTCAAAATCGTAGGATGCAAAAAACATATATAATATGAATAAATTCATTTTTTATTTTTATATCCACTCTACCGAACGATGGAAAAATACTACATTTTTAAATCTGTTTGTAACAACAAGAAATAATCATCGAGAACATGAAATACGAAGAATAAAATTGCTAAGCGATTGTAGTTCTGACTCAATTTATATATAGCCATATGTATCTTTCTTCCATCTATCCGTCGTTTACATTATTCGCGGAACTTTCACGTTTCGAAACTTAAAAGTGGATGCTATCCGTCATAATAACTACGCACATGAAATCCTTAGTATAAATTTAATCTAAAATCTGGCTAAGCACTTTATTAAACCTTAAGGCGAAATTGTTTCGTTTCGGGCAACAAGCGCTAACTTGAAACTTTCAGACAAATCGACAAATAAGTGAACTGAGAGCCGTGCGTGGCCATGCGATTCAGTATGCGATGCTAATCAACAATATCTAAAGTTGCCATCGGGATGTTGCAAACGCTATGTCAAAATTAATATATATTGTGACATCACGCATCGCAATCACGTATTAATAAAGCATGACAACTATTCGATTTTCTATTTAATCAAAATTCATTGAAACGTCGAACACAAGTACCGATTCGCGTTACTGCGAGCGATGCCTGACGATGCCCTAAAGTAAAAAGTTGTTATAACAGCTGGCTTTTGACGAAAAGATTAACAATAATCCGCACGAAATTCACCTCGTGAATGTATTAATAAAAACATCACGAGTAATTTTGATATTGATCAAAAGGATAGAGATAACGCGTATATGTATTTGTAAAAGGCAAACCAAAAGCAAAAAAAAAAACGAAAGAAAAACGCGCCGCATTGTGATATTCAAGCGGGGAAGTGCACAGAACAGACATTGACACGTTCTAAAGATAAGTTCAGGTAAATAACTTCTTTGCAAGTAGATCTTCCTAAAAATTGTAAATAGAATCTATGTTAACCAAAAAAGTCACAATCGAGCGGTACAAAATTAATAGCAAAAATATTTGGACAGAATCGTATTATAGGACATTGACAATTTACTTAAAAAGAAATCTTTAAAATTCTGTACTCCTGACTGAATCCTTCAGTCAAACCATTGTTTACGCCGACTTTTATTTAACTTAAGATTCTTTATCGATTATAGGTGTGTTTTTAGCCTGACCACGTCAAATTTTGGCATTGAAATGCTATGCTCGATACAATTACTAGCTTACTGTGAACCCCGATACGGGCGGATGGTGCCCGCTTGCTAAACTAAATCAAAGCAAATCGAAGCCAAGTTCAGCTCTCTATATCAATTGCGGATGTTCCGGCTAAATTAAGTTAGATTCTCAGGCTGATCTGTTTACTTTAGGAAATCTATGATTGCGTCTTGCTCGGTATTTTATATGAAAGATCAAGTATAGTATTTTCCTATTCGGTAGTGGGTGTAGTGAAAATGAACATTAATTAACAAAGGCATCTAAAGGCGTGTGGAAATTGCTACGTTATGAGCTACCAGCGTTAATTGTACATTAACAACAAAAAAGGAGAACGAAAATTCGAAAGTTGTAAAATTCGAAACTTAAAACTTAGAAGGAAACCAAAGAAAGTGTTATATATATATATATATACATATACATATACATATGTATACATATATATATATATATATATATATATACATATAAAAAGAAAGAGAACAGAACGTAAGTAATCAAAATTTTCCAATAGATGAAAAAAGTATCTGTTTTATGATTTTTAAACGCGGCAACTTTTAGTTAATTGTCTGGTTAAGTGAGAGAGACTTTTCGAAATCTTGCTAGTCTTGGTTGAAATTTTGATAGAAACAAAACCGTAATAATTTATGAAATCACCAAAGTTGTACTCGAACAGAAAAAGTGAAAGTAGAAAAATCTCATAGATTTCGTACTATGATGAATCACTACCCGCCGCATCCTCGATAATTGAATTAAGATCAATATTGAATGAATATTCATAAAGGTTCGAATAGCGATCGCGTTCTTTCCAAGGCGATCGGTGATTCATGTAAAGATTTCGTTTACTAACACGAAAGATTTGACTATCTTTGATCGATTGATCGTCATCACATGGTTCGCCGCCACCACCAAAATCACATTCACGTATTGTCAAACGGTTTGTGGGTGATTTTAATTCGAACAGCACTTCTTGATGTTTATAACGTGGGCGCATCGGCAGCGGCTGATAGCCGGGTATGACAATTTTTTGAGATTCTACTGATTGAGTGGACTGACGTCGCATACCGCGCACCTTATTAAATGGATAATTGCGCATGAGATTTGAATCAGTACTGCGCTGTGGTGAATAGTATTTAAAATCAGTTAGGGCGGGCGGCTGAGGTGCTGTTGTATGAATGGTCGTTAAAGTTGTTGTGCTGGCTGAGGGTGCTGTTGAAGCTTGCAATTGCAGTGTGGAAGGGCGTTTTGGTTGCAAGGACACCCCACTGACCGATACCGGTGTGAGAGGAGGCGGTAATGTGGCCGGTGCTTGTTGCTGAAGATGATGATGCGTTTGATGATGATGCAGCAGCGGTAATGGTGAATGGCGCGCATCAAACGAGGGCGATAGTGGCAAATGAAGTGAACGCTTCAAATTTAAACGATATGACGAGGTGGCCGGCGATTGCATTAACTGCGGCGTAGCTAATCCACTATGTGGTGATTCGTGGTGTAACTGAAGTTCTTGTTGTTGTTGTTGTTGTTGTTGTTGTTGTTGTTGTTGTTTTTGGTATTTGTTATTGAATTGATGAGCGGGTGGTAACAGTGTTTGTAATGAGCATTTTTGATGCTGGTGTTTCTGTTTCGAATGATAATGATGGTTTTTGCGTGACTTACCGTTTTGTAAATTATCGTAGCTGCGCGGTCGATACACACCGCCTCCATGTGCGCTCGTCTCCAATGCCGATGATGACGCATTCGACTTGATCAATAGCAGTGTTAGGAATTCGGGCAAGCGTGAACGTATAGTTGATTTTATCAGTCCGTCACAAGATGATTTCGAATCAACAACAAACATTTACAAATGATGTTGATTTGTTTTGTTTCGTGTTTAAGTACAAAATGTGTTTAATGACGGGATTATGGGTTTGTTGTTGGCAGTGATTACAGTGTATTGAATATGCAAATTGTTGAATATGTTTCGTTGATATCGTAAAGAAAGAGAATAATAATGAAAAAAAGTGCATTTTAATAAAAATGACTAAAGGAGTAAAAAAAAAAAAATTCAAAATAATTATGTGCTTTTAAAAGTTACATCGAGATTTTAAAGAGGAATGAAAATCGCAATAGTATAACACATCGAATATTTGTGAGGAAACCGAAAAAAAAACCAAAACAAATTTAAGTGAAGTCTATGACTCTGAACATACCTCATCGTAAAATCTTTGCTTGAGATCAGTACCACCTATGCCGAGGACATTGTTTGAACTGGCAGCCACGATCGGCTGTGCTGTTATCATAGCACTACTGGGTACATGAGTAGCACTAATTACATCACTTAATGGGTGTCGAGGACTTGAATGTTGTTGCATTTGCGAAATGTATTCATCGGTCGCAATGCCGCGTCTTGTATTATTAAAACCCAAAAAAAAAAAAAAAAAAGAAAAGATTAGCGTAAAAAATAAAATGTCGAAGAGACGAACCTGTCGATTAGTGATGGTGTCATGGGTCCACAAAGTATATGACAGCAGTTGAGACAAATATTCCCCCGAGAATACGGATTCACTGAACGTTGACCGCCTTTCGCCGAAAATGAGCCTTTAAGCTGCAATTGTAAAAAGCGCTTAAAAAATTATTTAATACAAAATTTTCTTTACTTCATTTCACATACATCTTCATTTGTCGTTTGGTCGCTGGTTGTTAAATAAGTATGAAATCCTGCTAAACCGATCACAGACCATATGGAAAAGAAGCAAATGAATACCACAATCACAGTGAATGGTGCCGTTTTAATTACTTCAATAACTTTTGTTTCAGTTTTCATTACTAAAAAAAAAAAAAAAAAAAAAAAAAAAATTTTTATAAAATATTATACCGAAGGTCATATAGAATATATTTGACAAACACATTATGATTTCACACTATTCTGTATATTTCAAGAACAACTTACATAAAACTAAATGCGTCACAGAGCACGAAAATATAAATACAGCTAAAAATGCCAACGAGACTAGAAACAAATAAAAGAAGCGATAATTACGTTTGCCGACGCAATTTCCCACCTGAAAAAAATAAACAAAAAAAAAAAATAAAAAAATTAATAAAAGAACAGTTCGCATAAAACAACTGTTGTCCTTAATTTATCATAATAGAATAGGATAAGTATATGTTTTCGACTAAGAAAATGTTTATGTCAAAGTATGCTTCAAAACTTCTCATCAAAAAAAGTGAAGCAGAAGATCATCAACCAAGAAATGGCCAAACAATACCACTTCTAATGACCACTGAATCATATAAGTTTTCAAGAACAGAGCAGTTGTGACAAAAAACCCTAAAGATATATAGAAAGCAATATAAAAATATGTTAACTCATTACTGACGCATGTGTTAGGTGTAGCCCGATGGTCTTCGGGCGATATTAAATAGTTCCAAAAAATGAAAGTATCATTCAGTATACTTTCTGGAGAATTTGGTGGATCCTATCCCATCCTATCATCATATAACGAACTATAAGATAAGAAAACGAAAGCACTAAAAGATTTTTTTCGTTTTTTTTTTTTTTAGATACCCTACACAATTTCGTCTACGACGGTTATGTACTCGTTTACACATTATTTTCATGCAGAGGCATACTTTTCATAAAAGTTCGCATATTGAAAGCATCCTTATTTGCGGTGGTATCCAAAGAATATAACTTCGGTAAGATTGATTTCCATGTCAATTTACTGTTATGAACTAACTTTCGCTATGAAATATTAAAAATGATACGTTTTTACTGTATAACGATTCAATTTTCGCAGGAACAGTTATATGCGAGAGTTTTTAAAAAATTGCCCCAACCGGACCAAATTTTTCACACCAATCAAAAATGTCCAAATTCTATTACAGAGCGAGTTTTAACGAGATATTTGAAAAATTTCAATTATTGTCCATATAATGATCTTTGAAAGTACGGGGAGTAGTCGAAGAAGTTGACCTATCCGAATAGTTTTCAATAGCGTTTGTTCTTGCGTCAAAGCACGTCTGTGTAACAATTTGAATCAAAATATTTCAAAAGTGGCGACCTCGTAATTTAAACCCAAACACACATGGACAGACATCAGACGGACAGATGGACATACAGCTTTCATCAGCAATCATTTTCGGAATCGATCGGTATAATATCAGGTGGGTCTATTTTAGGGGCTTCTGCATGTTACGTGTGTGCGCAGAAATTTAACATATCCAGCACCACAGATAGGAGATGTAGGGCACTATTAGATTTCGGACTTGATGCTTCGAAAAAATTCCATTTTTTTGATTTGATTGATTGCAGTAGAAATTTTGAAATCCACATTATTGTTAACTGCCTACAAGTGGACATTTTGATCGCTGTATTTTCATCATATTTTGTATTGTTGCGATTTGGCGACCTATACCACAATCTTTTCTTTTCTTTTTTTAAGGGCCTCTCATCAGAAAAAATAAATGTTGATAGACAAAATATGAATCTACTCTTTCATGCATTGCTTCTATTCACGTGATATTTCTAATCTCTCATAAGACATTTACCCGCACGTACATGTGTCCTATCACACTACGAGACTCTCATTGCACTTCATATTATAACAAACGCATACGAAAATGTCTTGAAATTAAAACAAAATAGAAAGAAATAAGAAAATAGTTTTGCAAAATTTGGGAAAGATCACGTCTCGCAAAATGATCATAGTTACTTGGCGGACGTGATAATACGCAAAATGTATGTATGTATGTACATATGCATCTATTTAATCACAAACAAAGACCTCCGTGCTCACTGCGCACAATGAATCGTTTGATTTTGATTTTCTGAATTATAGAAAAAGAAGAAGAAGAAGAAGATAATAAGTATTGATACACTGAAAATGCTACTGAAATAAATCGGAAAGGAAATTTATGGTCTTACAACACCGAATAGGTATTAAGAAATTCACTTTCAACCAAATATGCGATTTATGTAAAATTTTTATTTCTTCTTTCTCGAAAATATTTTGTTCATTTTAAAAAGATACTTTTAATAATAACTTGTTCTTTCTAGAAACTCTTCGTCATTATTTTTGTTTTGGTTTTTAACTTGCTTTGGTCCTCCTTGCTCTTTTCTAGTCTGATGTTAGGTTTCCATTTCCAACGAAACTCCCAAACAGTAAAATGGTTTCACGTTCAAACCTTTGCAGTCATGCAACAGACAACACATATATATATATATATATATATATATATATATTTGATTTAATAGAAGGTAGAAAGTTTAAAAATATGTACGCAGCAAGAGGAGATGTGGTAAACCAGCCGTACCAACAACTCAGTTTAGTTACGTTAGGCACATAAAACTATTTAAATATGAGGGGCATGTAACCATGAAACGTAGAGTGAAAAACTCAAATAAAAATTTCTCTCGGTTTGAACTTAACAAAAACGTAAAATAGCTACAAGTATGTTTATATATGCGCTCTTAAGTAGCCGCACTTGTGAAAATCTTCATTTATTCATTCACAGAGCAAAAGGCGACTCCACAGTCAAGACGTTATATTAAATTCGTACCGAATCTTGGATTACCCTTTGGACAAGTGTTTCTTTTTAACTTTAGAATATTATCAGATATCAGATATTGTGGCAGGACGCCACACTGTTCCTTACTGAATGTTATAACATTTATTATGACCCGCCGCAGCAATCTTGGATGTATTAATTCCGATTAACGATCACTGTAATCATTTCAGTAAGCAAACTATTGGACCTGTTTTAAAAATAGTTGCGAACTTAAACAATTACTTGCGTAGAAACGCAATTGCAGGCAGGCACTGCTATATGAAGTTTTCGAATAATAATTGCTTATAGAATTATATTCTCTTGCGAGTTTGGCCGATTTCCACGTTGCCGGCATGAGTAGACGAGTAGGTAAGAAGCTGGTATTCGCGACTTCAAATCCCAAGTGCAATAAAGTTTTCTTTGATCGTAGCTGTAGTGAGTGCTTCATATGTAAAGCATAACACTTATCGATTGGTCACACACACACACACACACACACACACACACACACACTAGGCCTGCCTATTTCTTCCCTCTTTCCTCATTTCCTTCTGACCGTCATTGTGTCACACGTATAGGGGACATCCCCCGAGTGATTGGTCATAATAAAACTGTCATAAGCAATGTATGAAATTTATCAAACGTTTATAAAGCAGAGAAATATATATGTCTCGAAATTCAATATTTATATATATTTATATATCTCAGTACAAATCATCGTAACCTAAAAATGTTGCACTCTTAAACCAGTGACTCAAAATGGTAGACTTTTCCGTTTTTAGCAATAAGTTTGCTCATTTCTTCGTCTCGATTTTAACCCACCCCCCTCCCCCTCTCGCCGGACATAGTCGTGGATAAATAAAGCGGAGTACCTAAATTTAGTTGGGTGGGGAGGGCGATTATGTAACTTGCACCGGGCAGCCGGAAACGGAAGCGATAAAGCGAGAATTAAATTTTTCGTACGTGATTACCTCCTAGACTTTTACATAGTATGATTATCCATAAAGTGCTGCCAAATTGCGCCAAATAATAGGAATTGAATTAGATATGAGATCTGACGAATAACGGGCCTTGATGTGGAATCAAATATCGTAATTATATTCCGAAAGATTTCGATTCACGTGGAATGCATTTTCCCTTTTCATTTGTAGCAATAAATCCGCTTAAATTTAAGCCACAATATATAAATAATGTATTTTAGGATGTTATCGATTATTGCAAGTAATCAGAATTGCGATCCATTTGCGTTCGCTTCTTTGTTCTGAATTAAATAGAATAGAAGCAAATTCATGCTTACCATGTAATTATATGCAATTTCTTATGAAATTTATACCTGCATGTACGCTTGCACGATTTATAAATAATATGACAAATTTAATATACCCTCTGGCAGTAACGAATATATAAAAATAAAGCATTTCTATGCAGTATCAAGCTAGTTTGAGTATACCGAAGTATGTATTTTCACGTACGTTAGGGATATGCTCAGCACACTTTATATACTTGAATGTATGCAGGCAGTGTGTGTTTATACTGTAACATTTTATGTATTTGAAGGATTTCATACAATGTATATATTTTTGTACATATTTTGTTATTTATCTTTGTGTTCTAGGTTGAGCGCCTTTGTTATATGCTTTTGTTTTTTTTTTTTTTTTTTTTTGCTTTTTGCGCAGACAATTTCGCTCTACCACTTATCGAAGGTCGGTCGTTCCATTCGTGCACTTTCATTTTCTTCTCTTCTCTTTTTTTTTTCTTTTTCTTTTTCTTTTTCTTTATCGTTATTGTTGTTGCCTTAGCGTTGTTCATGTTCTTACTATTATTATTATTATTATTATTATTATTGCTATTATTATCTAAAGGTAAAGAAGGATTTTGCATTTCTTATTTAAATTTCGTTTGAACCGTTGACGTAATCTTGTAAGGCATTTGGGAATTCGCTACATTTTGATTTAATTATACAAATATTAAAGAAAGATATCTTTATGTAGACCTTTTTGTTTTTGTTTTTTTTTCTTTTTTTCAAATTCTGTTGCCTTTCATCCTCATGTCGTTGCTTTTCTCAGTTTTCAGATTAGTTTCAATAAGAAGCCATTAAAAGAGAATATGATTCGATGATTATGTTATCTGCATAGTCGTATAATTTTCAAATGAAATGATGTGTTAGTGTGTGTGTAGTTTTGTAAAGTAAATTTTAATTTTCTTTCTCTACTTTCCTACTTACCCAGGGGCAATGATGGTCGAAACGTTCCACACAATTATCGCATTGGCTGCAATGTGACGCACGTGGTGGTCTAAATATTTTACAAGTAAAACAATATTTTAATTTAACGGTTTGGCCTTTAACGAGAACTTCTTTTGTTCGCGGCGGCGGTCGATATGTGGGACTATTTAACGAATTTGGCACTTCTGTAAAGCAATAAAATTGTCGAAATGTTATATTCATTCTAATATCGGATATAATATCAATTTACCGATTTGTTTTTCTATATAGGCAGCCTCATCATATGAAGCTCTGGGTATAACACCGGGGTCTGTAAAGGTTGTTCGTAGCAAGGAACTCATTGTAAAAAAATATAAAACAGCACCAACGATCGGTATTATGGGATTTATGCGGGTGGCCAGAAACGGGCAGCTGTAATTAAAATAATTATATTTATTAAAATGAATAAAATTTTCAATAAAATGAAAAAGTCATGTAAGTTTTGAGAAAAGTAATCTACAATTATCTAATACAGACAATATTGATTTAATCAATGGAAATCATATTTCACAAAATTGCAGTTTTTTAAGTTTTACGAATACGCTACTTGATCTACATTAATTGAATTGAATATCCAGTTTGAAACTCCTTTATAAATATACTAAATACGAAGTGAGCAAAGGTTTAAGCAAACTTCCGGAGTCGATAAAAATTGCTAACCCACTGAATTCTTTCGAAACAAGATGAACTGAAGCGGCTTCTCAAGCTTTCAATGTTGCGAACGAATTCATGGAATATTTTAATATCTCCTTCAAATTAAGTTTATTGTATTTCAACAGCAATGTCTAGGTTTCTTCGGTTATATTGACCTTTCTAACTCCTGAAAATATGCAATAAAATTTTTAGAAAAACCGTAAATTTACCAATAATGGACAACAAATTTCTTCCTTTGGATTTTTTTATTTTTTTTTATCACTTCACACCCACAGAAATGCCAGGAAATCATATGCTTAGGTCTCAACTTAACTCAACTCGAAATACAAATGTGAACTCAGGTCAGAAGACTTTACCTTTCTATTCCAAAATTTTTTGGCGGAAAATGTCATCCGAATGTTATAAACAAAATAATAATACCATCGTATGACCCAAATTATCTAAAAGTTGTTTTTCATGACGATAAGGAGACCATTGCACACATAGTCAAATTATTATTTAAACCTTTAAATCGAACCATCAAAAATCAACTTTCCTGACATATCTCGTTTTTGCTTGAGGTGAATTTTACTACAATGACGTCTGTAAAAAGTCGCCACCAAGACTGAAAAGGATCTTAAAAGTCGTTTCGAAATTTGGCAAATCAATCTGTAACCGCCTGATTGGTTATTAGGCTTTCATCGCTTTTACGCTGTATATTCGAGTCTATTGTCTTGTTTAAATTCCCTAAAGCATTGCTTGACGAATATTCATTTTTTGATTCCATTTTAAGGATAATAAGCAATGGGTTAATAAAATATGCAGTCGACAAAACAATTGTTGCAAAACTCATTTATTTATTTGTTTGTCCCGGTGACTTACAGTGGATAGCCATAAACACTCATTCGATTTACCTGTGTCAGAAGTTATTCATCACACGACCTAATCCATATCAATTTTAAAGCGCCGAGCAGAACGATTACATTTGCATTGTGCATCGTGTCAGCGATAGAATATAGTAAACAAGTTGAACATATATATACCTTGGATAGCATTGCTTTACCAAAATTGTACAGTTTGAAAAATTGATTATATGATTGCATTTTATTCACGCAAGCACTAATAATGTGGAGAATTTATAAAGTGAAAAATTTCATAAAAATTGTCTTTTTTTTTTTTTTTTCGAAAAAAAGCGCAGTTTCAAAATAATACTTTTTGTAAGTTCACAATAATTAATAAACTAATATTTGTAATTATTTAGCAATTTTTTAAATCAATTTAAATAAATTATTTTAAAAAAAAATGACCAGACAATAAATTAAATAAAAGCTTATATCAAAAATGTGAATAATTATTTAAATATCGTATGGTATGGTGCTCTGTTGAATCGCAATCACATCGGCTTCAAGGTGACTTAAATAATTTTGTTGTATGGTGCTCTTTGAAGCTTTTGAAATTAAATCTGAGTAAATGTAAGAAGCTTTCTTTCCCAAGACGAAAGTCATTTATTACTCAGATTATTTCATAGATTCGCATAAGTTCGCGGATGTCGTTTCGATCACAGATTTCGGCGTTCTATATGACCATAGGTTACGTTTTAACTTGAGCATATTGAGCTTTCGATAAGCAAAGCTAGATCCGTGCTGGCGTTTAATTTAAAAAGGTAGTCCAAAGAGCTTGATGATCCTGACATTACGAAACGGCTGTTCATGTGTTTGGTTAGACCCATACTCGAGTATGCCTCTGTTGTGTGGTCTCCTTCATATAGATGCTATGTAGATTCAATCGAATCTGTTCAAAAGCAATTCTTGCTGTTTGCCCTTAGAAATTTGGGTTGGGATCCGATTGCCTCTCTTCCTCCCCTATGAAAACAGGTTGCTTCTTACCGTCTCTTGAGAAACGTAGATTTGTTCTTGGCTTTTCCTTTGTAATCACAGTAATAAATGGTGCTATTGGTAGACTCGCTTTCATTACTTGGTGAAATAAGCTTTAATGTCCCTAACCGCTTCTCTAGGCACTTTATCTTGGTTAAGCTTAGTTAGTGTAAATGTGATTATGAGCTGTTTAATCCGCTCCGTGTCGTTTGCAAGAACCTAAATGACGTCTATCACTTATTCTCGTTATCGGTCTCTTTAAAGTCCATTAAAGCAACATTGCTTAGTACGCGTGATTTATCTATGTCGTACTTAAACTAGGTTTTTACCCTTAAAAAGTCGTTACAATTCGAAAATGAATTGTTGTTATCTGTTATCGGTTGCCAGGCTTATGCATGTTTGCGATGGCTTAGAGGTTCAATTGCAATTTGGTCCTGTACCGGTTGTAAGTGTGGCTCTATGCTAGTTGTGTACATCCTTTTTTTCTTTTTTTTTCCTTCTTATTTGTTTTATTGTACTTATACTAGGTTTTAATATTAATTCATATAAGTTTTCCTTTAAGTGCTAATTGAACTCGACTGTTATTTGTTTAGTTGAGTTGCATGTATAATAAGATTTAAAATAAATAAAATAAAATAAATAAATCGTATTTAAAATTTTACAACATATGATTTTTGGATGTCATTTTGCAAACACCCGGATCAAAATTGAAATTTTGTAAATGGCTTGCATTGCTGGAATAATGCAAAACAAGATAATAGATACGTTCAGCTTCATATAAAACACGGACGTCTTAACCATATTTTTACATTTGGGAGTACGCTTGAAGTTCTTTGTCGCGACAAACTCTTGTTATGCGCATGTATTTGGCTTTCTTCGCTCACTGTTCCACTTTCACTATTATACATATACTTTTGCGTAGTGGAAAGTTACTAATATATTGCTAGTGCAACTTTTTAATCATTGAAACGTACTTTTGCCATGCATTGATTCGTTCTCAATGTATTACCCTCTCATATACACTCTTGTAGTCGTCTTGTTGCACACAAATATTATTTTTTATATTATATCTCTCAATAAGTCTCCAACCTGACACATACATGTTAACATTGTTAAGGGAATCATGTGGTTCCTGGATAGTATTACGACCACGATTACTAAGTGCTACAAGTTACGGTTATTTTTATGATCGCTATGGATAGATTTTGGCGGTCGCTGTTCGCTCGGCTGACTGTCGATTTGTCTATGGCGTGTAGTCATAAATCTATGTTTCATTCATTTTTGTATATATCTCGTGAAGGTATTGTTCTTTTTATTACGCCTAAACAGCGCCAAACTTCGCATTGAGTCAACGATCAACATGATCGTTGTCGAAAGTGAGCAAACGTGAGCAAACCATTTCTTATAAGTAAATGCAAAATAGTAAGTGCACTACTTTCCAACGTCCTTAACTTGTCAGCTATTTTACGCAACTCCATTTTTCTTCTTCTTCCAAAATGATTTTGTGCACTTTTTTTTTATGTTTTATGGAACAACTGACGAATTCGTGTGACCTGAGCTATTATCAACATCGATTGTGACAATGTTGTCGACAATGTTGAAAAAAAGCGCCGCCGTAATATCCTTCAAGCCAATCCCCACTGTGAACAGTGTTATTTCGCAATAAATAAAACGCAGTCTTTTCCATTGATTTGAAAATTACAAAACTTGGTCAAAATATCACGAAATTTCATCATTCGTATCATTTGAATGTTGGAGCAATTCAAAGATCATATGTACCATATATGTGCTTCAGGTAGGAAATTTATTGAGTGACGGTTATATATAGTTGCAGGTAGTAAAAGCATCAGAACGAAAATGCTACAAGAGATCAGCCCATTCGTGGATCATTCTTCTGTTGTATCTAAGTAATCAGCCAGACAAGTACTAAATAGCAAGTTATGCCCAAGGGAAAAACCTGAATGGCAGAGATTGCTAGTCCGCCATTCAGAGGACCCTCTTAGGCAGGTTGAAGGAGTTTAGAATGTTTCTGAACATGAAGTCAAGGTGGGCAGAACTACTAGTCCAACACCCCGGGGTTGTCGTTTGGATAGGTTGCGGTCTTCTTAGTTTAGAAGCCTACCAACCGACACTGCCGAATCGCATTATATATTCTTTTTAGGGAATAAGCGAATCAAAGTCAAACGTGATTCCTGACGAACATTTCCAGCAGTCAAAGACCGTGGTCCAAAGTATTGTAATCTGTGTTCACACAGACTCGCGTCGTGATATAGGCTATGATACAATATACGATCACGCTCGTCATGCTGATTGGATGGTTAGCATACAACAGGATACCCGCAAGGGTAATCCAATTGTCCAACTACGAGAAAAGCATGCTCACTTAATAAGCATACTTCATCAAATAGGATTAGTTATTATGTAGGCGTAACAATACCTAATAAAAAGAAGATCGAACATCGCAGCTACACCGAAAGTCGCTCATTTCTCTTCTTAAATTATAAAAATTTTCTTTGTGCTGGCAATTTGAAAATACCTTAGGAACAGATGCCCATTTCAGTATAAATAGGAATCTGTTAGTCTTTTGTGAAAAACCATGCCATGCCCTTCTATAAAATTTTGAGAAGCACTAACCACCATATTAGTAAGGCATAGCGATAGGAAATATTGAACCTATATATATATAATTCAGATTGGATCTATTTTTTGGACTTTTCAAATTGTAATGAAGATTATCAAGGGTCCTGTAGGATAAAACTCTTGTTATTTGTTTTATATGCAAAGGATCAAAACTTAATCAAAAATTATTGATTTCTTCTAGAATTTCTATATACAACATTTACATGTACATATAAGAGATAATGT